GGGCCGTCAAGACGGTGACTGAATGTTCCTGGAAATATGGTCGGAGTTTTCTTGCGCCGATGACAAGAGCGTAAGCCAACTTCTCCATTGGCGGGTATTTGAGCTCGGCGTCGTGTAATGCCTTGCTCACGTAGTAGATCGGGTGTTGACATGTCTCTTCTTCTCTTATGAGTACAGCGCTGACTGCCGAGTTGCTTACACCGAGGTATAAATACAGCACTTCGTCGGGCTTCGGTTTCTGTAAGACCGGAGGTCGGCTCAGCGTGTCTTTGATATTGTCGAGGGCTTTCTGACACTCGTCGGTCCATTCGAACTTCTTCCCTTTCTTGATTGCGTCAAAGAATGGCTTGCAGCGGTCAGTTGACTTTGAAATGAATCGATTCAGGGCTGCTAACCTACCAGTTAAACCCTGCACTCCCTTCACCGAGGTGGGGGGTCTGTGGTCGAGTATCGCTTGGATCTTTGTTGGGTTTGCTTCAATCCCCCTTTGGCTAACCATATAGCCCAAGAATTTTCCCGACTTCACCCCGAAGGTACATTTTTTTGGATTCAACACCATCGAGTAATCGCGTAAAATTTTAAACATTTCATTCAAATGAGTTACATGGTCATCTGCCACAACCGACTTCACTAACATATCATCAACATAGACTTCCATAGTCTGTCCTATCAACCTAGAAAACATCTTGTTAACTAACCGCTGATAGGTGGCCCCTGCGTTCTTCAGTCCAAATGGCATCATCGTATAGCAATATAACCCCCGAGCCGAATAGAACGAGGTGTGCTCCGCTTCCTCCGGGTCCATATGAATCTGGTTGTAGCCAGAGTAGGCGTCCATGAAGCTCATGAGTTCGTGGCCCGAGGTTGCGTCGACCATGTAGTCTATGTGTGGCAGGGGGTAACTGTCCTTCGGGCAAGCTTTGTTGAGGTCGGAGAAGTCTATACACAGTCGCCATGCGCCGCTGGCTTTCTTGACCAGAACGGGATTGGATACCCAGGTCGGGTACTTGGTTTCTTTGACGAATTTATTATCAACCAACTTATTCACCTCCTCCTCGAGGGCCAGTTGTCGGTTGGGGCCGAGTTTCCTCCTCTTCTGAATGACCGGCTTCACCGTTTTGTCGATATTGAGCAGGTGGCAAGCGACTTTTGGGTCGATCCCCTTCATGTCCTCGTGCTTCCAGGCGAAGACGTCGGCGTTTGCTCGAAGGAATTGTATTAATTGAGTTCTGAGTGGTTCGGGCAAGCATGCTCCTATTCGAAGCTGTTTTGGGCAGGTCGGCCCGCCAACGTCAATTATCTCGACCTCTTCTGAGGGTTCAGCTCGGTTCCCCGGCTTCTTCTCCTTGAACTGATCTCGGGGATCGAGGATATCATCTTCCTTGGCTGGTTCCTTCCCTGGTCTCCTTCCTCGGTCCCGGGTTTTGTCTTCTTCGTCACTAGTCGGTGGTCGTTCATCTTCCCCCCGACCTTGATCGTCGTCCATTTCGACATTAACTTCCTCCACCACATGGATTTCTCGCGAGGGTATCTCCAGAAACAGCCCCCTGGCCTCTCTTTGCTCCCCGTAATGAGTTCCTTCTCCGTCCGCCGTCGGGAACTTTATCGCATAATGGAATATTGAAACGGCAGCTCGGAGTTTGTACAATGTCGTCCTCCCAATGATCGCATTA